GAAACGTGCGACAAAGCGCGCTTCACCTTTTCTATTTAAGTACATGCAAGCACACATATACATTTGTATTTGACCGCTAATATTTCATAATAAATTTTTTTTTTATATTATGATAGTGATGAAACTTCAAAAATGTAATGTTGTACAAAATGTTGATAATTTTTTATCTCGTAATTTAACATATTGCTGATTTCAGCATTTCCAAACCACTAAGTTAAAATTCTTTCTTTTCCTCACTTGGCTAATTTTGCTTCCTCTACCTTAAAATTTTTCATGTTTTCGTCTTCCCAAAATTAAAATTTTCAGATCCTATTTTCGGTGACTATTACATATGTAAATACATATGTAAGGCTTTAAAGCAACTCTAAAATAGTATACATCTTTACTTTACTTTAGAAATTAGCGTTGATGGCAGCTCTTTGGAGAAAACTTGACACATTCGCTTTCAATAACATTTCCACCTTCCGCTTTTTTGATAGCTTAGCTGTTTAAGGCAAACATTGAATTGCGTAATTTGGCAATAGCAAGTTTGTTTATAACAAATGCTAATTCTTCATACACAAAAGTATGTTAGTTATTGACATCAATATGTAAGTACATACTTGTCTTCACATCACAGACTTTGGACATTAAATTGGTTTGTCACGCTCACCGTCGTGCTTAACTTTCCTTTTCACTAGTTCCCAATTTCCATAAAGATAATTGTGTTAATTGTCCGCAATTCAATAAGTATGTGCTAAAGCGTGAAGTGTCTGCAACTCGGCGTAATATGCTTATGCACCTGCGCAGCGATTCGAGGCATTTGCGCCCCAGTTGTATTATGCACTTATGCATTTTTATCACTTTTATGTAATAGCACTTTTTACCCAAACCCATATTTGGGTGGTAATTGCTGCGCAGCAATGCAACTGCAATAAAGACTTAAGCAACGAACTTTAGTAATAAAAACGGTCATTGAAAACGATAACTGATTGGCGCTAAGAGCTTTTGATGCGTTCAATGCATAAACGAAACTTTTCACGCTGCTTATTCAATTTCCATAAAGCCAATTAGCACTGGAAAAGTTTTCAAATGTACATGTTTTTGATTTTTGTTTGGTAAATACCGTTATTTGTTGTTCACTTGCACCGATATTTATTTAGATTTTAATGCTTTCCACCAAATTATATAACTACTCTAGAAAATTTCAGTTTTTTTTTAGATACTTTAAAGAAACTTTTAATGAAAAAATTTCAGTATTTAATTGGTTGTACAAAATGAATTGCTGCATGCTTTTAGTCGGACAATTCGGCACGCCCAAGTATGCGCATTACAAGTTACTAATTACTTGCTAAACTTTTTTTACAGCCCGCTTATCTAAGTATATTTTTTATTATTATAGAAAACTAATGGTTTCTAAAATTTTATGTATGGGCACATTTTAATAATATTTTCAAATATATGTATATACAAATTCTAAGTTTAGTGAGTTTTCTTTAATATTTTTAGCATGTGCAAGTATCTTTAATTCAAAAAAAAATATAATAATAATATGTTTTGCTTTCGGTCGTATTTTCTTAATTATTTATAACTTAAAAATGTAATTAATTCATATGAAATGTCAATAAGTTCATCATTGTATAAGGTTGCCTACTTTTAGGCGATTGAATGCCGCGAGTTAAACTTAATTTAAACTCTGATTTACCGTCTCGTCGTGCAATGACACATAGCAATCTTTCAGGCGCAACCAATTAAATAGCATATATGTATTGTATTAAAATTTTGCCAAAAATATGATGTACTTTAAGACTGCACCCACTTCTCAGTTTGCATATTGCATATACAGCTGTGTTCACAAAAATAGCAGTGCAAGAAATGCAATCCAGTAATGTTATTTTTTTTTCAAGTTCCGTTACGATTATTCCAACGTCTATGCATTGTTGTTGTAGAATGAAATGTGTATATGGAAGAAACGAAAAAATCCCGTTAGATTTGCAAGATTTAAGCAAATGAACAACTCTTTTTGCTAGAAGCACCAGTCTTTGGCTGTTCATTAAAATAGCTGTGCGTATTATGATAAGCCAAAAAAATTTTGTTAAGACGTTTAATTGATAAAAAGTAAGAGGTTTTGTGTTAGTGACTATTATTAACATTAGAAAACACTAAAATAAATTTATATTTTTTTAACTTAGTGGGCAGGGGCAAACATTGTACTCCTGAAAAAAGAAATATTATAGTGCAACTAAGAAACCTGGGAAAAACATATAAAGACATCCAAGAAATATGTGGATGTTTTGCTAAAATGATTCATAATGCTTTAAACTTTAAAGAAATGCCCGAAATCGTGGTATCCAACGTAAAAACATGCCTCATGAGGACCGATCTATTGTGCGATATAGCAGGGCGCAGCCTTTTGCATCGTCCAGCAAGATAAAAATTGACTTAAGCTTGAATGTTAGTGGCGTTACTATTCGGCGACGTCTTAAAGAACAAAATCTCAAAGCGTGCCATCCACGAAAAGTTCCACTGTTAGCCACCAGACATGTCAAAGCACGTTTGGAGTTCGCCAAAAGTCACCTTAATTGGCCCATTACAAAGTGGCGAAATATTTTATGGAGTGACGAAAGTAAAATTGTGTTATTTGGTGGAAAGGGCTCCAGACAATATGTCAGACGTCCACCTAATACAGAGTATGATCCTAGGTACACTTTCAAGACAGTTAAACACGGCGGATTGAGTATTATGGTATGGGCATGTTTTTCTTACAGTGGAGTGGGCCCTATGTTCATGATTGATGGGATCATGGATCGATCTGTATATGTTAACATATTAGAATATGTTATGTTTCCTTATGCCAATTGGGAAATGCCACTAAAATGGACGTTTTACCAAGATAACGACCCCAAACATACAAGCAAACTGGTCAAAAGCTGGATGGCATCAAAGCGGATCGATCTTAGGTCATGGCCTGCGCAGTCTCCGGATTTAAATCCAATTGAAAACCTATGGGGAGATGTTAAACGATATGTTGCAAATGCAAATCCAACATCTCGATCACAGCATTGGGAGGTTGTTCAAAAATCATGGGAGCGGATCCCTGTCAAGCGCTGCAAGGACTTGGTGGATTCTATGCCTCGCAGTTGCCAGGCCATAATAAAAAATAATGGGTACACGTCTAAGTACTAACCCAAGCCAACAAATTAAAATAGTTTCTTGGAATTCAACAATGTTTTTTTCAACTAATTCCACTGTTTCCATTACTCACTGCTATTTTTATGAACAGCTGTAAACAGCACTTTTTTGTTTAAATTAATAATGTAAAAAAATAACAACATTTTGAATTATAAATTGATGTGTTTTTGTTTAAAATAATCACAAGGTTAAAACAAAATTAAATTTGTGAACATTCATTTACTTTTTGATATATAAAATTAAGTTTAAAGTTGTAGCTCATGAGCACTGCTATTTTTATGAACACAGCTGTACATATATGATACGTTATTGTGCAGTTCACAAAAAAGCTTACTACGAGCTGTGTTAAGAAAATTACGGAAATTTTCTTTTTTCTACTCTTGCAACATGTTGCTACAGAGTATAATAGTTTTGTTCACCTAACGGTTGTTTGTATCATATAAAACTAATCAAGATAGATACAGGGTGGACCAAAAAATTTTTTTAATATTTTTTCTTTTTTCTCATTTCAAGTTGTTCGTAGTTAAAGTCCAACAGAAAATCATAAAAAACTACGAATAACTTGAAATAAGTTTACTTTTGTGGATCGGTAAATTTCCTAAAATAATATGTGTTGATTCTCTCTTAACAATTATTTGTTTGTGTACAATAAAAATCAAAAAAAAAAAAAAAATTATTTGTTTTTGTTTTTTTTTTTATATGGGAAATTGAAAATATCAATGATTCACCTGTTAATATTAATATTAAGAGCTCAAAATTTACCAGAATTCTTTTTTGCATCATTTCGGATGAGATTTTTATGGTAACTCAGAAAATAAAAATAAACGTTTAAGTTCGGGTGACTGTTTGTTCGGTCGTCCGTCTGTCCGTGTAAACGATAACTTGTGCAAAAATTGATATATTGCGATGACACTTGGTGCACATATTTCCTGATACCCATGATGGTAAGAGTGGCTTTATAGGAGCAGCTGTCCAAACTGGATAATAGGCGTGGCAACATTCGCCTTTAGGTGGAGTTCCTTACCTCAGGAATTACTCAACCGATGTCAACTATGTTTAGGGTCTGTTGTAACTCAAATATTACTATCATAGGCTGTGAAAGTGGAATGAGAAATCGGATGATACTTCTCATACAACAAAGATCAATGTTCCATTTGACTATTAAACTTTCGGAATCTAATTACAATTTTTGAAGGATCCAGATACTAAATATTTGGACCCCCGTGTATATAGCTGATTTTATACCAAACATATCGGTGAAACTGTTAGGTCTAGTATTGAAATTCGGGGAGAATATTTTTGCGATGACATCCTTACAAATTGCTCGGTTACATCTGAACGTAGCCCTTTCTTACATGTTTGAAAAAATATTTATTCACCAGGCTGCTACTGTATGAATGTGTGTCAGGGAATACATCCCACATTTTTAATGCTTCTCATCATACAAAGATCCGCTATGAAATTAGGAGAGCCAGTCTGTTTGCTCCCACTATGGGGTGGCGTAACCTCACTATTACTTCAATGTTTGCTTCCCTGAGTTGAAAGTCAGTACTCCCCATTGATCAAAGAGGGACCTTCGGACTTTCACGCGTAAGTATTAAAATTAATTTATTTGGGTATTAGTGGACAAATCCTTTATTTAGTGTGCAGACGCTATCCAGGTATTTTTGCTTTTTCGACAATATTGTCTATACTGTCAGAACCATATTACCATAACGAAAAGGGCTCTAGGCATTTGGGCATTGTGAAACATATAAATTTTGAATGAATTGTTCACAATAAGTCGTCCCATTTAATTTATTAAAAAAATATTCCAGCTATTACTTCCATACTCAATTTGTACTTTATTTACGATTAGTTAATTACAATTATTTTCATTTAATACTTAAATGCGCTTAAAACTATTTACAACAGCACATTTATTAAGTGAGCAAAAAGTTAATAATAAATTAATACAGCTATACTTATAAAAAAACCCTGACGCAGTGACTATTGCCTTAAGACTCACAACCCTTATTGGTTACCATAAACGGGATTTGATGGATAATTAGTTGGTAGCATGGCAATCGGACCTTGATTATTGAGTTCATTCTCGCCTTCACTAGCCGGTGTTGGCGCATAAGCAGCGTAGGGATCACTGCGGCTCTCCCAACCGTTTGCACCACCATGTCCACCAGCGCCATAACCCTGAACTTGACCATTATGTATATGCAGGTGAATTTCCTTCGATGGGTGTTGCTCGCTGTGCGAATACGTTGCTGCTGGCGCTGAAGGACCCCAACCGCCAGTCGCATGTGGCGTCCAAGTCTGATAATTCCACTGTGGTGCAGAGTGTTCATAACCACCGAAATTTGATTTCAATGTAATGAACTTGGCAAGTATGGCGGCGGCGTTCATCAGCACAAGCAATTTCACTAGGAATAGCGTTTTCATGCCAAGCATGATGAGAAAGGCCACCATAGCGGTCAGTATGCCAAATTTGAAGATGAGTGGAATCAGGGCCATTTGTAGTCGACGAATTTTTCCAAAAGTACGACCCTCTGAAAGTGAAAAAGAGATGATAATGTGAAAATAAGAAAAGTTAGTAAAATTTGGATTTTTATTGCGTTTATTTATAGAATAAATTTTTACTTCTTGCAATTAAGATTTAAAATGTAGAATGATTACTAAGAAATATATATATTTTTTTATAAATTTCAGTGTCGCAAGCTGATTGACATATATACAAAGTCCAACAAAACGTCACAATAACGAAGTATTACTTACACTCTATTAGTTAATTAGCATAATTCAGTTGAGTAAAAGAGCGTATTTATTATGTTGTATTTAAGAAATGATGTGATGTCATGCGTTATATGAATTACTAGGCGTGATATTTCGTCACATGACTTTAAGTCACATGGGCAGTCATCATATGATGTGATTGCATTTCGTGTAATGCAAAGTCAATGAGGAGTTTTCTAATCTTTATTAGGATTTATTTATTGGTGAATTTGAAAGTGGTGATAATTTTAACTTAAAATATTTAATACGATCTTGTGGGTGGCAACTAGGTCCCACCTTTAAATTGCGGATGTTACAAAAAAAAACTGCATAATGCATACAAAAAATAATTCTCCTCACAAATCATCGAAATCAGTGTTTTGTACTTTGTTTTTGTCAGTTAATATTTTTTGGTGGTGATCAGTTTAAAATGTAGATCAGATGATACCATTGAGATCAGAAGCAAAAAATATCACATCAATCATACCAATTGAACCCGTATGTCATATGATATGATTCATGATATGACCATGAAATCAAATATCTGTGTTTAATTGTTTAAGTAGCTTAACTCAACTTAAACCAAAGTAGGCATTTTGATATTTAAACAATTATTAATTAATCTTTTGGCGTGATTTTAGGTATCCGCCCTTTAATCATTATAATTGATAAAACACAAAGTCATAATCGATGATATTGGTTAGTTAAATTGTCAGCATTAACTTAAGTTAAGTTAAGATATTTAAACAAATACATACAAATAGCAATAATAAACGCACAACAATAATGTGTTCACTGCAATTTTTATTCTGCTTTAAACATCTTCGCTTAGTAGCTATTGCTAGTGGTGTGAGATTAAAATAATATGCAATTTCTCATGCAATCGAAAGCCAATATTGCTGTAGAAGAATAAAAAAAATCATTTGGGATGAATCAGAGCTGAACATAATCACTGGAGACTTTCGCGTCTAGGCTCACGCCAATTCAATTTCTTTTATTTTTTTGTAATAAATATTTCTCATTGCAATTGGCGCCTTTCAACTACTTGTATATTTATTATATTTTGCTCTCAAATTTTGCATTACTTTAGATTTGAGTTTTTGTATTAAATATGCTATACGAATAAGAGTGTTAGCAGAATAAAATTATTATACCATTGCAACATTTGGCAAGGAGTATAATAGCTTTCTTCACCTAACGATTGTTTGTATCACCTACAACTAATCGAGTTAAATATGGGGTTATGTATACACTTATATAAATGATCAAAAGCGGAATTGATAGGAGCTGCAGTCAAAATTAGACGATGGGCGTGTTTCCGTCTTTCCCTTTGTATTAAAGACGTTTAGGATATTAAAAATAGTGATATTTTAATGAAAATAAATGGACAAGTTTTACTTTGGTCTAAACCTCATATCCCTAATATAATGGATTCCGATCCTCTGGTTGACGTTTTCCACATCAAGTCAACACATTTAAAATGTGCAAAAATAGCAATAAAACTAAGTCCAAATTTATGACCTTCAATATAAGTCAAGCAAATACCAAATTTGATTGTAATTTGTTCACGATTTCTTCGAATAATGGATGTTCAATTTTTCGCAATTTTTTTTTAATATAAAGTTTCACCAACAACTGACGGAATTTTACGGACTTTGATTCTTGCAAGTTGCAAGAGTATAAAATGTTCGGTTACACCCGAATTAACCCCTTCATTACTTGTTATTATTGACCCAGCGTTCAAAGAAAACGAAAGCGATAATTGAAGATGCTATGCAACTGTTTAAATGACCTGTTGGTGGACCTCATGAACTGTGCACTTATGTAAGTGTGCTTGAAAAAGTAGTACTGATACACATGTGGTACACACCATCGCATATATGCTCTTCAATTCATTGTATACGTCTTCAAAATCAGTTGTTGAAAACAAAGCTTTTGTTCACTTACAGCGGGAAAAAAATAAACAAAAAGAAAGTAACAAATTGAAAATAAACAAATTTAACTTCACTTGTTGATAATTACTGCCCAACACAATAATTACCAATGTGCACCTTTTTATGCTCGCACATAATTGAAATACTTTTGTGCTTAAATACTTATGTAAACACTTACGGGTGCTTGTGTTCAGTTGAAAAAGGTGCTACTTTCATTTGACCAACTGCACTACGATCTCGAAGTGACAAGTACCAATATGAATACCACTTAATTGTTATAATACGAATGATATATAATTCATGAATGTCAAAGTCATAAGTCTAAGAGTAAAAGTAATTCAAGACTGCTTTTGAAACCAACAAATTTTATTCAATTAAATGTCTTTAGAAATTTTAGTAAAGTGAAATTTTTTTTTATTTATTCAATTTTCTTTCGAAATCTTTTTATTTACAATGCGTTGTTGATGTCAAAAATCAAATATAATCAAAATACTAAAATATTTTCAAACGCAAAAATGGTGTGTGTCATTAATGACTAGTAACCATAATAATTTAAAGCAATAGTGAAGATATTAGGATTAAAAGAAACTCATAAGAGAATACGGTGTTTATGCTTACTTAAAAATACACAATATTTTTTAACAAAAGTTTTATTTTAAATAATGATTACTAAATGTAATGATTACCGATGTGTTTTTATACTAAAAGTAATGATGGATTTGACTATGCTGTTATTACCAAGACCCTGAGAAAAGAAACGAATGGTATTGATCATTATAATTAGTGCATTTAGGAATCAGTTACTATTATTAATTTAAAACTTATCACGAAACTTAGAAGTGTATTCCAAACAGGAGTCTTACTTGGAGTACTTAGAACTCCGGTCCATTGTGGTACCTAAAACACTCATATATTGATCATAAACACCCTCATAAATCGACAAGCGCTTTAAGCCTATCACAAATTTGTTCAGGCTGTTAATATCAGTTTCGATTGTATCTCCTGATTCGAGGGTATGACCACACAAGTCTGATGATGAAAGAGCTTGATGATATTGTTAGTGAAGACGGACACTCCTTGACTAACTTTGAGCGCACAGTTAGTGAACTCAAATGTAGCATTCCCGCTTTTCTGTCGGAGGCTGAACTTCGGGACAGTTCTTCCACTGCTATCTTAATAGCAGCTGACAAACGCTACAGTGATTCAATAGCCTCAAACTTAGCTTGACAGTGAGCTCCTAACATAACATTTAAACCTAAAAATTAAATAAAATAATATTTTTCTGTATTTTCTTTGGTCATGGAGGACATTTAACTGACCTTCTCGACGATAGCAATTGAGTAAGACTGTGGGTTCAGAGTTGTTAGCTTGGTTGCTGTCAGATTTGAAATAAAAGATTTCTTTTAACTCCTAGTCAACTTGGCAGAGATTAATGAATTTATGAGTATACTTTTGTTATTAAAACTGTCACAAATGTTCAAAATATAATACTGTGCTTATTCTTTGCAGTTCAGTAAGTTTTAAACGAAAGGTATTATGTACTAAAATTCCTTCTATAATCCTAATTAAGTTATATCATAAATAATATTTTGTATAGTGGCGAAATATTATTAGAAAAAATAAGTAATTAATGATTGTAAAATCATTTCAATCACGTCAGTATTGTTTGCCTAATTTTAGCTACAGTCAAGGTGACTTTAAACTAAACATAAACTACTACCGCAAATATGACCCTCAAGCAGAATTGAATTAATGAAAAATATAAACTATACAGACTTACAATCATGTCGATAAGCGTAGTGGAATTGTGCAACACCACTCTTCCTCCATCAAACCACAAGCATTTGTATCGATACACACATTTGAACAAGTAGATATTTTAGTGTTGCAACAAATGCAAGTGAAAAGTGGTAAGAAAAGTTGCCGCCAATTGTGGTTGCACTAACGACCGCTAAGGTTGATGTAATATTGAATGACAAGCATTAACGCTTCTTTAAACACATCATTAGTTGTGTTAAGCCGCCCAAAGCACATATGTATGCAAGTGTATGGTAAAGTCATGACGGCTGCTCTTGGTGCAGAAGATGAAAAGCCGTGACAAAGACATTAGTGGTGCTTAGTCAAGGCGTTAAAGGAAGTAAGTACTTAAGGTGGCACACTTTTGAAGTTGGCAAAATCAAAAATATCAACAAAATTGTTCAAAATCATCGTTAAAACAATAGTAATATGTGCATGTCAAAATGGGAATTGAAAGCCCAAACGACAATCAACGCTACAAGCGCATCAAGAAGTAGAGTAAAGTAAATTTACTTGTAAACACAATGCATGTCAACTTGAGAGTGTTTTCCCTTCAACCTTTTCAGCATCTGTTTTTTTTTTAAGGCACTTGTTTATTCAGTAATTTGTGCACTTACCTACAGCCGCCATCGCCGCTTCGGAAACATCACGTACTTCACGTACCAGCGCCTTTTGTGCACCGGCCGCTCCGTCGGCATCGTCATCGCCGAAAAGGCTTTCACTCAGATCGTCTCTTATCCAATTCCACACATTACGCACCATGCCCCAAACGCTGAACGACGCGGTGGCGTCTTCATTTTTCTCTGCCGCCGTCAGCGCTGTTTCACTCTTCGCTGGTTTGTTGGCACCCGATGCCGCTTCTGTCTCAGCATCCTCATCATCATCCTCATCTTCATCATCGTTATCGTTATCATCAACTTCAACATCAGCCTCTGTGTCTGCTGCATCCGCACTATCAGCCTCAATATCTGCATCATCTTTCAATTCGTCTCCATCATTTGCCTTTGCCTCAAGAATCGAAGCAGCTGGCGCTACAACAACAGCTGCCTCTGTTGCATCTTTTGCATGGCTCAGCTCTACTTTGCTATAGTTTGTATTTTCCGTGCTGGCGTTAACTGCGTTTGTTGCTATTTTTGCTGCATCAACTTGCCAGCTAAGCAACGTAATTGTGGTCAGCAGCAGCGCTAATGCGATGGTTCGCGCGAAATTTGTGCGTGACTGAAAGTGAGAGAAAAAATGGCATGCTTTAAAAAATATTTATTTTAAAAGTGAAAAGTGCTATTAAAAAAAATGACTTGTGCTAACTCAATGTGCTAAATGACTTTAAGCTAGGTCAGTTATTTTTAAAAATTTCACCAACTGTTATTCTCCCTTCAATGCAAAAGACTTAAGCAACGAACTTGTTGTGACTTACTACGCTTCATTTAGAAAAGCTGCTTAATCAAGGCATACATTTTGAAATGGGAGGTATTTAATTCAATATGCTATTTTTAACTACATGCTGACACGCTCGCCAGCAGAGTAAGTAACCAATTTCATTTCGCTGCTGTTGAAAATGTGTTTTTGTTTTTGAGTACGCGTTTGACTGTCTCATGTAATATTTATTTCTTGCGGACATGCCCAGCTATTAATTATGTCATCTGAAGTTAGTGCGATAATTTGTAGAGTTAAATCATTTTACTGAAATTACACATTAAACGTTCATGTACTCTTATGTAACGATAAAGAGATAATAAAATTATATGGTAAGAGAAATCATCATCAAATACAAACTAATTTCATGTGGTGAAATGGTCATGCTTGTTTAACTACTCATTTATAAACACACTATAACTTCGAAGTATTTTATATGTATGTAGCATCTGTGTGCGGCTTAAATCGGAATCGAAAATTGATGCACCAGTAATTGACGCGTACTAATTTTAAGGCAATATAGCCAATTTTTTCTATCAGCGTTAAAAATTTGGAATACTCATTTAGAAGGAATTATTTTTTTTTTTTTTGATAACTTGGAGCTCTTTCGCAGTGGGTCAAATTTATAGAGATCATATCCTTAATATAAAAGTTTAGAATATTATTGCTGCATTCTTTGCTTTCATCCAAAATATATATAAAAATATGTCAATTCTGTACTATTTTCGATACTTATCAAAAATGTTACGCGCTATAAAAAAATTTGAAAGGTCTTATGCTTACTATTGGTCTCCTGTGAATATTACTAGAAACTGTAAGATCTAAAATATAATATACACAATGAATAATTAGCTAAAGCATAACAAAAGCTGATGTGAAAAATAATGTTATTATTTTTTTGTAACTAAAATAAATTCGAGTATACCGTATCATAGAACAATACTTTAAAAAAATATATCATAATACAAAAAAAAATTTTTTCAGCCACATACTATTCTTAGCCCTGAACAAGGTATCTTAACTTTGTCATAAAGTTATTTAGAGCCAGAAGGAAACATGGAAACTTTTATTAAAAATATATATAACTTATCAGCTTGAGGAGCTGAGTCGATTTAGCCAAATCAGTATGTCCGTCCGTCTATCTGTATATAAGCAAACTCCCTCAGTTTTCGTGTTATCGACTTGTATGTTTCGCGCCACTATTAGCTATAGCTGCCATACAAACTGATCCATCAAAATCAAGTCTTTGTAAGAAAAACTTTTTTTATTATTTGACAAGGTGTAGTCACAAACATTTGTCCAAGTAAGCACTATAATCTCCGAATAAATCGTTTAGTTGGGACAACTATAGCATATAGCTGCCATACAAAATCCACTGCTTGTATGGAAAACTTTTGTATCTGACGAGATATATTCACTAAATTTGTAGTAGGCAATTGTCTATGGCAACGCCATAATTTTCAATCATGCTGTCATACAAACTGGCATAGATTATTCATCAAAGCATCGCTACAATATCTGAATATATTGTTCAGATGTGACAACTCTCGCATATGGCTGCTGTACAAACTGGCCTATCAAACTCCAGATAAAGATTTTTATACCCTTTTAAGCTACGAAAAATATACTTGTGAAGAGTATTATAGCGTCGGTTTAACCGAAGATGACGTTTTTTCTTGTTTTCATCCAATTATACTTAGTTTAAAAGATAGTAATAAATCAGTTTATGTAAAACGTTTGACAATAATAAAAAACAATTTAAAAGAAATTTTCAACAAAATAAACCAAGGTTTAAAGAGAGGGAATATTTTAGCTTTACCATGAAATTAAGTTTCAAACTCAACTAAATTTATATGGACTTTGTTCTTCTTATTTCGGAAAATGAAAGCTTATCAAAACAAAAGAGATAATTCCTCCTAAATGGAGCAGATATTTATGACTAAGAAAGTCAAAAATTTGCGAAAGTGCAGAATTCAGTTCGCTAAAAGTGTTAGCAGTCTTTAGTAAACCCAATTATTCGGGTGATTACCACTGCTAACAAGCAGAAAATATGTCAGACGAAATTCAAAAATTACAAAGAAAAACAACAACGAAAGTTTGTCTGAACTACTTCCAGCACAAAACGTTAAAGTTACTCAGATTTGAATATCAAGAAAAGGTGTAGTCACACGGGTTATGAAATAAGCAAATATAAATAAGGTAAACCATTACTTTTGGCCAAGTATGGACACGTAGTTCCGAAAAAATGCCAAATGAAATTGAAAGCAGGCGAATGAAATTGAAACTCAGTTGATTTGTCTTTAGCGGGGAGAGTGCAAATATTTGCTTTTATAGTTATAGCTCTGCCTTTATTTACAAAAAAGAGAAACATATGTGGTTATTTGTTATGAAGAAAGTGAAACAGTGCGAATCAGCGACAAAGAAGCGAACGCTACGCTGTAAAGATAAACCGAAGACTTAGCGCGCAGATTTACGTAATCATGCAAATTTGGTTTTAAATTTGCACTCAATTTAGTCACTCTCCAAAATAGTTGAAATATATATATCTTTGTTTATATATATGTACACTTATCTGGGTCAAAAACCGAATGTTTTCTTTTTTCCGTAAGGTACTCTGCAAAATTGGTTGGTAGACACCTCTAAGGAAGCCTCTCCAAGTATAAGCTTTTAATTGTATTTTTTTTTATTGTCAGCTAGAAAAATTCATATATCGCTTCCAAGTACCTTTAAAAATATATCGTTTTTTAGATTTAATGCTCTACAAAATGGTCTCTCACGATTTGTTCGAAAGTTTTGTGTTTTGTAGAGCAGAAATTTTCCTACAAGACTATGAGCTTTGTTATTTTGTTTATTAAGTTATAATATTTAAAATCAAAAAAAAAAATAAACAATTGGTCAAACTTCAACCGTTAATATCTTTAAACAATTAGGTTTACGAAAAAATTGTAATAGACCTTTTTTAAAAAACTTTCAATTCCCTACCAAATCTATAAAAAATATTTTTTTTTATTGAGTTACTTGTAATTGCAAACGCAAAATTTTTTATTTATTTTGAAGTTACTTTTATCAACTGTGCAAAATTCTTTTTACAAAATTAGTGTTTCAGTAGTATCGGCTTATTTTAGTCTAAAGAGAAAAGTTCGCTTCAACGTTTAATTTGCATAATTGCCGCCGTGTTGGTTCGCATTAGGTTTAGGCATGCGCCAATTACTATTATTTTACCAGCAAGCAGCAAACATTCGAAATATTTATGAGTTTTTGTACAAACATATTAATTTTGCTAGTCATAAGCATGTGTATGTGTGCAATTCTAAAAAGCGAGAAATTTATGTCAACCGTTCTCGCCAATTAAGCCAAATATAGGTATTTGTGCATGGAAATGTCCACACTTATATATAGAAATGTATATAAACATATGTATGCATATATATGTACCTTAGCATAACTATTTAGGTATAGACTGCCCAACGGTACTTGCTTGTGTACAAAACTGTCTCGATTCTTTGCATAAATTCGCTCCGCTTTCTACTCGCTTTGTATTCCTCTTGCGAATTTATGTCAGCGCCAATTAATTTTGACCACCTATAGGCACGTCTCATTTCACCTGTCTGCTGTGCGAATGTGATTCTTTTCGTTGCCAGCAATTAGCAATTGACCAAGTTTTCATTTTCGGACAAATGCTTAAGTAAATAACAAAGTTGGAACACAACAGACATAAAGAGCAGGAGAATTGCAACAATGTTGATTTTTATACAACTACAAAATACAATGTCTACTTATATACATATATATATATACATAGTTTGTGTTATTGTAATAACAATGCAAGTTTCTAATATTTTATATAGATTTAATATTTATTACAAATATGAATATTTCTTTGTAACGGTAACTACGCAAAAATACTTTTTTTGCCATATTTATGTAAGGAATATAATGAAATGGCATATCACACTCTCGAGTGTATGTCGTCGAAAATCAGATAATCCTGATAAATGTTACTGTTACTTTGTAAATCAAACAAAAATCTAAAAATATAAATTTTTGGTATTGAAGTTATTTCATAGACCTATGAATTATACAAGTTAGTGTTAGCTTGTGTGATAAATTACAGGATATGTTATATCCAAGCAAGTTCGTTTCTTAAGTCTTTAGCTTATGAGCACAGTATTCGTTCCTTACGCGCTTTGCTAAAATGACATAAGGCATAAGAAACAATACTTGGAATTAAAATATGTTTCTGTATACGCCAAAATTATTAAAAAGTGGCTTAAAATTTAAACATTTTTAATCATTCGCACTCTTTTCTGTTTATCAGAGCTATTAACGAGCATTTGTCTTTTCGCTCTCTCCATGTATCTTTTATTTATCTTCTACCATAATAATGGCACGTGCCATTCACACAACAGCATCCTCTTATACTTTTTGAAAGCCAAAAGTGAATGTAAATGTCAACAGCTATTATTGTTATTTACCCAGTTACCTGATTCTGTATAAACATATTAAAGTAACAAAATTATTTATTTTGATTTCAAAAATTCTTCGTTTTTTTCGCCAATAATAATTTAAGTGTATTATTTTCTTGATCAATGGCATTTTCGCACATTATTAAGGTTTTGAAAGAATTTCTCGCATTTTTTACTGTGATTAGAAATTTCGTATAATTTAGACTTGTTTATTGTGCGCGTGCTTTCTTATGCTCAGAAGTATTCAAGCTTTGTTCTAAAGTCGTAAACTGCGCTCAAACAGGCGCTGCTGATTTCTTTGACATTCATAGCGAACAGCTGGAATATCTTAAATGGTGCTAAAGAAGGTCGTTAGTGGTTTTGTAAATGGATTTAAGTGGTGTTCTAAAAAATAATCTAAGAAGCGAATATTTTACTTTCAATTTGCTTTTTATCGCAATTTATTAATAAATAGCAATAATAAATAATTAAAAAGCAGTTATAAACAGCAAAACACCTTTACTAATGCTTGTCACTAATGTTCCCCAACACATAAGTAATAATTAAGCTGTCAGTCAACAAATGTTTGCGTGTCAGCGTTAATAAAACGAGTGCAAACAAAAATTTAATAAAATGAATTAAAATGGATAATAAAGTTGCAAAAGAGCCTACCGCCAACAAAAGATAGTAACGCAAAGGTACAGACATGCAAAAGAAAGCGGCAGTTAACAGTAAATTGTGATGATGAGCATGGCAAATAAGCGAAAAATGCTTTTCATATTCATATGAGTTAGTGACGGAAAGGTAACATGCCACAAGCTGGGAACAAACGAGGTACAAAAGAGCAGCGAGAAAATTACGCGAAAATAATGAATATGCAAAATTTACAAAATAATGCAGAAATAGCAACTTTAAATAAAAAGTAATCCAATGAAAACATAAAGCTTAGATGTGTTTGTTTAAAATGAAAGGTAATATAATTTTTTTAATATTTTGAATATGTGTATTTAACACGCTCAGGAGAAAGGATATATTTGAAAGTTAACTGATGAACTTAACTCAATTTTAAAAATACAAATATACATCTTGCATATCATAAACACTATTATTAATATTCCTACAAAGACTTAATGAACCAATTGTGTGAATATTGCCGTTTTTTTATTGAAAAAGGATGCCGGAAATGATATATCACGATATGAACGATCTTAGATTTTAGCAGAAAAATACGTAGTTCCTTACAACAGATGACACATCGGATTGTTTCTTAATCAAGTTCGATAATATAATCTATAAACCGTGTAGGCTATGCACAGTTCCTATCCATTCCCATCAGTACAATTGGGAATCACCAAGATCTCAGAAAACAAGGTTATCAATAGACACCTCTGCGTAAGACTAGTTTAAGAAAAAATCCTTTTCTTCTCTTTAATCTTTTGATCAATATTATATTTGATCGCCAGAAATTCTGAGAATGATCAGTGGAATGAAATTTAATGACAACTAGGATACGTTAGCCGATTCTGAGGTTTCATTGGAAACGTAAACCTAAATAGTGCTACAATAAATGATAACGAAGACTAACTTGACTTTTTAAAAAAGAAAAATTGAACAGATAAGAATAACAGTTCATTTTAACCCTTAAATTCGATATCTTTTTTTTTTTTTTTTGACTCACGTTAATATGTATGACCTATGATTAAAGGTCTTTGTAATATTTATTAAATCATTTAGGTTGCTAATTCTCTCCAACTTGGTATGCAAGTATTCAAGATTGAAGTAATTTAATATTCTACAAATTCGGCCTGGATGCCTTATTTGAACTAGTGAAAAAATATTGAAAAAAGGGATAAAATCAATCAGTGGATATTTTATCTTATAAAATCAATTGAAATTTTTAAGTTCTATTAGAAATTAGAACTGTCATAATATTCGCTTTATATTCACAACATTATACACAAAATCCTTTTTAACCTACAAAATTTCTAGAACTCACATTTCTACACTTTTGAATACAGAAAACCGACATATATGCATATATGTGCATAACAGCAGCTTTGTTTACTTTTACCAGAGCAACAATGCTGCAAGTCCACAATAAACTTCAAATGAGGTTAATGTGCCTCAAACGTGCATTTTGCAGCCAATTAAAACAGTAATGCCGCTAAATTTATATTTTCTCAACATTAGCAAACGAATTTTTAACTACTCACCATTTTCTCAAATAATTGCAAAATGCGTACACTTAACAGTTAGCTTTTGTATAAATTTAAGATTTTATGGTAAAAAAAATTTTTTTTCTAGTTTTATTTTTTAATTAACCACACACGCGAAATTCGTTCGATTATGTATTTCAATTTGATTGTTTTTGTCTTTGTTCTTCGGCAATTTCGTATTCACGCAACGTTTGTTCGACTTTCTCGCACGCTTCACAAGTTCACTTCAGCCAAACAGCCAGCGCACGTTAATATTTAACGCAAATAAATTCTTCCTCAGTTGCAATCACGGAAACTGAAATGTTGGCCGTTCGCCACCAACGCCACCAAACCTGCATATGACTACCACAAACCAAAGCTGCACGTTCCGTTTCGGTCAAGCCGCACTCGAAGACTGGTTCGCTCATCTGCACCAAGTCACCAAGACAAGTTGTTTGCCACAGCGGTGCGCAGCAGCTAACTGTGAACGACAACACATACACACATAACGCCAACTCCATCTCTCCAAAAGTCATGCTAATATGGAGTTGAATATTTCTTTACAAATTTCTTTTGCGCTTTTTCCAAACACTCACTCACCCGCCTGCAAGCACACACGCATATCGCACGCACACATACGGACGCACATATAAGATTGCGGTTACAAAATTTGTTAAAATAAATTAAACGCTTTTCGAAGAGATCTGCTGCTTTATCTTGTATTCTTTGCCAACAGCGATCCCAATTGCAGCTGCTGAGCTATGCTGAGACGAGCTTTTACGCCACACTGCACTTAACATACTTGTAGTTTGCTTCACTTGTTGTCTTTTACTCAGCATCTCGGTGACTTAACGGCAACGGCACGTCTATTCGATCAACACCAGCAATAACATAGTCTTTCACAATACTGTAAAACGCTTTTTGTCTGGCACTTTCTTTGCGCATTTTATTTATTTAGTTGTAGTTGTTGTCTGCTTAGCAGCCACTTGTATTAAGTCACACACACACATGTAAACTCGTTTGTCACCAAGCATTTTTGTACTCCACATGCCACTCATATGTGGATCTGCCAGTTTTTTTCCGGTGGCACGAGCTTTCCACTTGACCGGCTGCCGCCTAAAGTTTGTTATGAATAAGCGTGTGAAGCAGAAATGTGTTCAACATGCTACGAGGCGCTTATGTCAGCATGCACGTATGTATATGTGTATTAATGTATAAATTATAATCTGTGACGTCATTGGAGTCGAAATGGCAAAGCATTATTTTCAATGTAACTTTGGTAATCAAGTGGTTTGGCATGAGAGGCTGTTCTCATTAACCCTAGTTTACCGATCGTGACTTAATCTTCTAGATGTCTGGCGAAATGTATAACTTTGCGGGTCTAGATGCGGATAATCACTATTAATAATTCTACTCTCACAATTAAGTCCTAAGTAAAACTATGAATGGACGACAGGGCAAACTAATTGTACTTTTGGGGGAAAAAAATTGTATAATAATCAGGCATGTTCCAGAAACCGAATGAAATTTATGTGATTTCGTTTTTACAAACCGAATGTTGTTCTGCAAACCGACTGAAATCATTTATTCGAAATCTTTCAATTTCACATCGAAACAGCTGTTTGAAACAAATGAGATTTGTTTTTAATTGATATGTATAATAAATATTTTACACCGGTCGGCAAGATTTTTGGGCCCGACTTCTTTATGTTAAATTTCCGTTTCTCCTACACAAAATAAGAGAAAAACATTTTTTTTATTAAAGTTTGCTTTTGTAGAAAGTTTTTTCTTATTTCTTTTATGTTGAAATGGGCAAATCAAGTCCATTTGTATCAGACAAAAAGAAGCTTTAAGAGCTAAAAATAAAAGTTCCAGTGTTTTTCAATCTCTAGAATCATAATTTGAGCATGAAAACGCAAACAAAAAAAAATTTTTTTTTTGACCAGTGCTGTATTAATTTTCCCGAACTAACGTGCGTGCTGCCGTGAAAGATTCGCAAAGTAATGACTTCGTCTTGCAGAAGATGAGAAGACTTTCAGGGATAATTCAAATCCGCAAATTTATAAAGTTTCAATCAAACTTTACACGTTATCTTAGGTTAGGTTATCAGACTGATATTAAAAAGTCACGAATGATCGCACTTGGACAGCTAGAACGCAAATATTGAATCCAGCCACAGAGTGTAGTTCGTAGAAGGTATGACTACGGCGATGCTTCAACTTTAATCTAACAAAAGTTGGACTGTGGAACAACACTCACTAGACAGGAAAAATGTATCTTATGTACATATGTATAACTGAAAATTTCACACTTAACAGATCCAACTTTAGAATATTTGCATTTAACTTACTAGTAACAAAAAATACCATATATTTATTTACATGGTCCACCTTATTCCTAACATTCCGAAGAACATAGTTTTATAATGCTTAAGTAATACATTATTCGTTTATCGACTTGTTTTTCATCTGGAAAACAATACATAACGGATTCTTGAATATTTTTGTTATGTTATTTTAAATCAAATAACACTTAAATTTTCTTCAATTCCTTTAGAGAAAAATTTACTACTGTGCATCGGCTATTATGAATAGCAAATAGTTAGAAAACCTTTTCAAAGTTTTTATTCTGAAACGATTATCGAAATATCTAAATATATATGTTTGTATGTAAAAGAAATGCAACCGGTAATGCTATAGTAAAACTGTAATTTAGCTGCAATAAAACTATCCCACAAAAATATATGGATTTCAACAATGGAAGCGTATAATTTTTATTGCTTTTTTGAATTACAACAAAAGCGTCACAAATTCACACTGACCGTGGCACCGCTTGTTCACTTGTTGGTAAGGTCAACATCAACAAGCATTCATAAAAATGCCGCAGAACACTATGGTGCAACCAAGCGAATGACTATTGGTGCATTCATGGAACTGACCACCAACGACCCAGTAGGAAAATTAATTGTCAACTCTTGATTTTATTTGAGTCACGTCGCTTTGCAGTTAAACATCGAAGATCATTACATAAATATAAATCTGTTTTAAAATATAAAAGCTTTTTAGTAGAACTCATTCCTCTATTTATAATTTTTTCATTTTCGTTCAATTTTTCAAGAATACTACTTACCTAAATATATATTTATACATATGCCTTTATATGACTTCATATGCATAATATATAAAGGAATTATCTTCACTTCTGATTATTTTTATATCATAGTCTATTAAACTTATTTTTACTCAAAAAAAATTATATACAATTTTTTTCTTAAATACTTGTAATATTTTTTTTATTTTCCAACAGGATATTTGTAGCAACAAATTATAAACTGAGCAGCTTTTGTCGTCACTAACTAAAGTTGTGTGACTCCAAATCAGTAACTCATCAACGAAAGCGCATTGTATGTGCGATTTATTCAACCATTGCCTGCGGGTACAAATGGACTTGGTTCTGTTGCATTGTTATGTAAAATCTTGCACCGGCTAGACTTTATTCACTTCTTGACTACTGCTTTAAAGCTTATTACGTTTAGTTTTGTGCATTGTTTTCTCACACCTGTGCTTTATTATTGTTATATAATTTCTTATAGTACTTCGGTCATATGTAACAATGCATTAGCGATCATCTGGCCAATAACCCGAAATTCGGAAAAAGAAACGAATTATATGAGCGCCTTTAAAAGTTGCAGTGAACCCTAAAGTTCTATTTTATACTCTCGCAACATGTTGCTACAGAGTATAATAGTTTTGTTCACGTAACGGTTGTCACCTAAAACTAATCGAATTAGATATAGGGTTATATATATTATATATAAATGATCAGGATGAAGAGGCGAGTTGAAATCTGGGTGACTGTCTGTCCGTCCGTCCGTATGTCCGCCCGTCTATGCAAGTTGAGTAAAAATTGAAATATCTTTATGAAACTTGGTACACATATTTCTTGGTACCGCAAGACGGGCGTAATCCAACCACTGTCACGCCCTAAAAACGCCATTAATAAAAAACAAATAAATTGCCATTACTAAGCTCCACAATAAGATACAAGACGGTTATTTGGTATACAGCATCTGCATTTCAAAATATTTTTTATAAGTGGGCGTTGTCCCGTCACCTTATAGGTTTAGTGCAAATTTCCTAAACCGTTAAAGCTATAAAAACAAAATTCACTGAGAACAAGTGTTTTTAGCGTATAACCATATCTTGGGATCTGCTTAACCGATTTCATCCAAATTCGGTACATAAGATTCTTCCCATATTATAGTACGAAAATGGGCGAAATCTGATTACAACCACGCCTATTTCCCATATAACACCATTTTGAATTCCATCTGACTCTTTTCCAGTATGCATATCAAGCAACAATGATTATATCGGGGTAAAGCTTTAGGTGAATAATGCGTTTAAATTATGCCACCTTCTGACCAAAAATTGTCTAAATTAAACCAAAACTGTACAAACGCCTAGCTACTGTATATGTGGCCCCCAATGCCTATAGTTGACTTTTTACCGAAAATATCGGTCAATGTGTAAGATATATAATTCAAATTCATATAATAAATAAATAAATGGAATTTTCGATAATATTATTGTATGTATTTGTGTCAAAAATGGGTTGAATCGGATCAATACTTTCCTTTATATAAAATTTTGCCAACACCTGAAGTAATTTCCCGATCTTTGCAAGTTGCGAGAGTATAAAATGTTCGGTTGCACCCGAACTTAGAACTTCTTTACTTGTTTTGATTTTAGTTTGATTAATTTATGAAGTGAGCTGGATATTTACTGAGGGTTTACTTTTTTCGGAGGTTGTTACAAAATGAGGTGCGGTGTATGGGTCTAGAAGGCGAAAATATACCAATTATCGGGAGAAAGTTTCATCATATCAAGTGGTTTATTTGCTGTATTTCCGTACAAAAGTATTCTTTAATACTTGGAATATATGCTTTAAGGTTCATGTGAATTGAAATCGTGTTATATGGAGAAGAGGTGAATTTTGGACCGATAAGCTTAGATAATAGATAATAACCACTTAAAATAATACAACATTTTTTTTATTCATTTTAACAAAATGATAAAACAATAAACTTTATTTTAACTTAATATTAAAATGTTAACAAATTAATTAAAATATAAATAATAATAGGTGGTATATCATCAACTTCTTCATTTAAATTATGCCAACCATAAAAAGTAAAAATACTTCATATATGTAACGACTTCTCCACTCACTTTTCGACTTAACTCGCCGACCGGAAACTATTGACCCAAGCAAAGCCATTCCAATAGGTATTTGTGCCAGTATTCCTGTTGTAAGGATTATACGAATTGTAGTTGTTGTAGGGGTTGTAGGTGTTACCAGAGTTGTATTGATTATAACCATATGGATAGCTGGAAGGATTAGTATTAGTATTCCCGGAGTTTGAGTAAGACTGGGAACTTGGGAAGGTATATTGCCCAATAACCCATGGCCATATGCGAATATTTGTGCCATACCCTGTATATGGTGTGCCGCTCAGCTTTGCAAACTGTGGATACGATGTCGCGTAGGGATCGACATACTGCGGTGCTGCCAACTGCGTGTAAAATACAGATTTTTTAGTTAAATTTGATTAAATTTTTTGATATTTTTTTAGCTTGCATGCATTTACCGAGAGTGTAACGACGCTTGCGCACAATAGATAGGATAATAAGGCACTCATATTGTTATGATTTTAGTTTTATGGTTTAACGATATTTGCCACTGTAAATATTTGTGAAATCAACCAAATTTAGATCACTTGCTGTTGACACTTGGATGTTAATGCAGAACTGTTTAAAAAGTTATGATTTTCGCTGCTTAAATAGCGTGGGTGCTTTTGCGTTTTTCTTCCATAAAAAGTGTGTGAAAATTCCACTTTTTTCGAGCATTGTTTTGCACAGTATGCAAATATGCCTATTTTCGTTACAAATTATTTTAATTTCTCGCTTTTGTCATTGAACTTGACTTTGCACTGAACAAACAGTTCGCTCGATTATTTATCAGTAATTTGTTTAAACAGCAATACTGTATTTAAAATTTTATAAAATTAACGGCAAACTACTCATACGAGACGACAATTTGTGAGCATTTAAAATGTGGATTTATATTGCGACACTTGACTTTGTGTTTATTTTTGCACTACACGGGAAAAAACTACTATATAAAAACGTGCTCTAATACGAAGAGTTTATAAATGTTTTAGAAAAAATTTATTACACTTTGAGTTAAATATTTGTAAGGCTTATTTAAAACCGGAATTATTATTTTTTTTTGTACGATAATACTTTATTAAAAATCTATAAATTTAACTACTCTTCTGTATTTCTACAAGCACCAGCGTATCATTATTAATGCATATTTTCAAGATAATATTTAATCTTCTGTGAAAACCCTGTTTTGTTATTATCGGAGTTGATGCTGTTTTCCATACACGGAAGACATTAGAGGTTACGAAAGATTAATAGATCCGTTAATATATGCATTATTGTCAATCATACAGCTATGATACAAGTATTTTCTTTTAACCAAATATGGTACGATTTTATTCTTACGGTATAATACTGCCTAAGTTTCGACTCATGTAAACTTCTTCTTCTCAACAAATTTTCAATAAAAGACACTTTCTGGCTGGAATTAGAAAACTTGCCTCACACCACAAAATTATAATATCTTTAACAAAATTTTTTACAGTGTAGCTCCAATGCAGGGAATCACCCATTCCATCCATCCATTAGTCTTGCGCTCTATTTCGCCAAATTACGAAATCACATTTCTGCAATATAATTATAATTTTCATATTTGTTTGATAAATTTCGTTTAATAAACTCTAATCAACACTCTCGACAAACACATTTTTGGAAATTATTTGTCACACTTGAATATTTTTGTATTAAATAATTGCTCCTATTAAACACCTAACAACTCGCCATTAGTCACCCGTCACAGATCGTTGATCTCTTATATTGTTGTCAACATGCTCGCTTCCGCATAATAGATTATAAATCAGCGGGTGCAACACATATATATGACATAGTGTATTTGCAACAAACCACATATGATCGCACAGCCAATCGCAAAATCATAGTGGTGAATCCGCTATTGTGCATAAAGTATAATTACTATAATTTTTATTATTGATCGATACAATTTAACCATTAATATGCGACAATAGTAGCAGAATATTGAATATTATTTATTTTAATAAATACCAAAATGTAATTTTCATCGTTTAAGGTAATTACAATTAATTACAAATTACAAACAAATATTTAAATGCATTCATGCGCAGAGTGTATTCCGATAAGTACACCCAAAACTCCACGATCACCAAAGAAGTAAATATATTCTCATAACCAGCTTTCGTAAACGACTTCCATCAAAATTTCAGCTGACTTGGACTTGTTTTGTTTTCACCGGGTGTGTCTCCGGAAAGATCCTGCTTATATAAGTATTCGAGTACGAGAAGACACTGTATACGAGTTATACTAAAAAATTACTGCAGTTTTTTCCGCGAATTTGTCCCCACTGTGTGCATTGTTAACTTTTGTAGAGGAATTTATGGCAAGACTAAGTAGATATGGCTTAAGAAATGAGAATGTTGAGATCCCAGCTTCACCGTCGCTATTTAATATATTATATTAAACTCCTTTTAAGTTATTTATATTTCCAAATCGAAAACAAACAAACTCTGCTCTCATTGGAAGAGAAATTCTTTTCGTTTCTATAAACAATTATATTTATTTAAGTATTTACGTTTTGAATTCATAAAAAGTTATAAAAATTTTCACTTTAGAAAGTAGTTTGTCAGTTTTTTTCAGTCGTAATAGTAAATCTGACCTAAATTGTCTGAAACAAAACTTGGTAGCATTAAAGATAGCGAGTATACCGATACACTCGAAGCTAATTCAACTCGACATGCTTTGAAATGTACATATATTTTTTGACAAGAGAGCAGCGCGCAAAGATAGTGTGTAGAAAAATAGTGAATAGAATACAGCATATGTCTCCTATAAAGATAGACCTAGCATATCTGTAATAAATAGATATTATATCAAAGCCGTTTGAAAGTAATTTCATGCGCCTCATGGGGAGAGGTATACAAATTATTATACCCTGAACCATCCCTCTCTATATACGAGAACTAGTCTCTTATGCCTATGAAATATTGGTCTGAAATTTTGCACACATCACTTTCTCAATAAAAAGCTGCTCATTTGTCGGAACTGTCGATATCAGACTACCATATCATATAGCTGCCATACAAACTGAACGATCGGAATCAAGCGCTTGTATGGAAAACGTTTTTATTTAAAGAGATATATTCAAGAAATTTAGCAGATTATATTATCCAAGGTAAAAAAAAATGTTATTGTTTACAAACTCCAGTTTTTAACTATGAGTATATGGTGTAATTACAACAATAATTAGGGCAGACAGTATTGTTGTAGTGTTTTCAAAGATTTATTATACTTTCATATATCGATGCGGTTGCTATAACAATATTTTTGACAAAACTCTTATATTATGAACTTTATTTAGAAGTCGCGTTGGTATTACAAAAAAAAAAAGCCACAAATAAAAAAAAAACAACTTACTTTAATTATGAGCGTGTTTTCAAAATTTGGAACATAACAGCAGAACACATACAAACATTATGATAACAATATCGCTAGGAAATTAACTGTATAAATTAGATTTATAACTATGTTTGTAAGTACATACATATATACAACTACATATATTATATAAATATATGTACACGCATACATTTCGTTTAAAACTTTACAATAACATACTATACATAACATTATAAATAAGGAAAATGACTAACTCTAACGATTCATTAAATTATTAAAATATTCGCTAAATATGCGCCACTTAAATAGGTTGTTCGTAAATCTCATTAACTTTTTATACACATACTATATATTAGGACAGTTTAGTCATAACAAATTACATATAATTACAAATAGTATAAATACAATTACTTCACTTAGCTAATTACTTGTCAGCAAGGTCACACACGAAGTGATACCCAAAAAGGAGAATATTAGGGTGTTTCTCGAGAGAGTTAGGGTTGTTAGTGTTGTAGTTGGTAGGTGAATAATGGGTGGCAGGTGGTGTTTCAGTAGTCTTCATCCTCGTCAGGTGGCTCTGTGGCGTACGTCAGTTCATTCAAATAAAACCATTTCTGTGAAAGAGTAAAAAAAAAATATTTTATTTATGTAAACTGTGGAACAAATTTGACCGTTACCGGCGATTCAGTGCAGTTAAAGTTGTAATCCCAATCACAGATGCGATACTCCTGATTGAAGGAGGTCTCGTTGGCGCATAAATGCGGTATGCGATTGCCCTCCTCATCGCACATGTGGAAGATCTGTTAAAATGGTAAAAGAAATATTTGAAAATAAAGCATACTTTCAGGCTCAATGCGAACGTGTAAAAGCTGCGCTTTACAACCACAAAAATCATATTGAGCGCTTTGTGACTAGCTGTTAGCTTTTCTCCCGAAGCTCACTTCAATTTTTGTTTAAAATTTTGTTGTTTGTTATTATGTTGGCTCACCTGACAATTGTACTCCATGTCGGCGTAGAAGCCAACCGGTCGATGCGTACAATCAAAAGAGAATGTGATATTATCTAAATTCGTCCACTCTTTCGTTTTGTGATTTTGAAATACTGGACTGGCGGCATCTTGTAACGTCAAGGCTGCAAGTAGAATTGGACCTGTGCACATGCAGCAATTGTGTTTTTGTTTTTGTGTCACAGATACGATACGAATAATTTTGTTAATAATCAGTCAACAATATTTACAAGTTTGTACAATATGACTTTTTTTGGTTTTGTTGTTTTCGCTACTTCACTTACAACTATTTGTGGTTAATTGGCATTTGCAAGAAAAAAGCAAAATGTCGGATATTACAAAATTTAGTTGATTTATGTTAGTGCTACTGGTTAGTATATTGTAAGTCTTATGAATTGAACTACTGTGATTAGTAAAGTGTGTCGTTGATAAAATAAATTCAGTAACTACAATATATGTATATTTTCTTGTGAAACAACAAGTCTAAAGCAGGGTTGCAAATAATGCATTAAAAAAATAATTGAATTAAATTTTTTTTAATCGCAAATACGGGATAAATATACATTTTAACCCCGCATACCAGATTAAAAAATAAAAATTAAATTATTTTAACCCAAAAAAAAATGTTTCACATAAACCGAATTAAAAACTTATTTTTAATTTTTAATCCCGACTTTAAAAATAAAAAATAAAGTTTTTATCTCAAACATACATATAATTATGAATTAAAAAGAAAATTTGTGTAAAAATCAACATTTTTCGCGTTCATTTAAATCACAAATAATATTTTATATTATATTGTATAAGAATTAACATTTTTCGCGGTCATTTAAATCAAAAAATAATATTTTATATTACCAGTTTTTAAACCCAACAACGGTATTAGAAAATGAAAATCTAATTTTAAATTTCAACATCGTGATTAAAAAATAAAAAGTCAGTTTTTCGTTCAAAGTTTTTTAATTAAATAATTCGCAACCCAAAAAACAAGTAAAAGTAGCATGAAAAAATAAAAGTTTTTACAATTTGTAAATATTATATAACAAAATACAACCAAGCCTTTATGTAAAGATTGTAAAGTAGAGTTGCCATAATATTGTAATTTAAAATTAAAAAACAAAAATAAATAAATTGTTGAACTTTCAACTCAGAAAATATTTTGAGATTTTTAAATGCGATTTCGAATAGAGTTACCACCATAAGATATTTTAAAAATATCGAATGCACTTATATGCATCTACGAGTTTTGAGTACTGAGATAGAAATTGAAAAAAACATATATTAACAATTTTAAATAGAGTTGCCTGACCCAAAAAAATATTAACAAAATGCAGCCACATATGTTAAAAATTAATTTTTGTTTATTGAAAACAGGAATTATAAACTTTTTTATATACAATGTAATTAAACGATGTTCACTTTAATACTCAATTTAATGTAGAACTCGAAAATTCTGAGAAATGCTATTTAGGAATAATATTTATAATAATTCAATAAAAAACAGATATGAAATGTTTTATTTAATAAATAAATATATACACACATGCAATTGAGAGTAATATAAGATATATAAGTAAAATATATTTAACAGGACTTATAATATTGTTGTCTGCCTTTAAACCAGTATAACTGTATAAATTATGAATAGAGTTACCAACACCATTATTTAACATTTATGTTCTAAAATATTGTTAAAAAAGCTAAAGTTTTATAGTAACATATGGAATGTATACACATATATTTTTTCGGAGCAGGGAGCGTGATATCAGAACTTCGTTTTCGATCGTTTGTTCAAAGTATCCAAAACATTTATTACTGTAAAGAATTAAAGCTCAAATATTGCCATGGCCTTCTGGCGAAGTCTATTACTTTTAAAACCAGCTGTCAACAACGTTAGATTAAAGCTATTATTTGCCTAAATTTAACAAAACCTTCAGTATAACTCGACATTTCTTAGCAGTCAATATACATAATCTTGACTCGTATCTCTTTTCTTATAAGGTAAGTTTTTGGTGGATTTTGGAATAAAAACAGAATTCAAGTAGAGTGCAGAAGAAAAATATTTTTATTTATTATTTATAAATATATTTGAAAATTAAAATAACAAATAAAACATAAGGGAATCAATTTGGACTTGACCTACTTAACAACTCAAACTCGCCTAAAATTTGTACGCACTTATACGGATATGTAGGTATGTACTTTCCAATTACTTTCACATTACCTTCAAACAAATATCCGAAATGACATTCGCCAATTAACAATTAAAACTTAATGAGCATTTCAAGTTCATGCAGAAAATATTAATTTTTGCCTTACTTCAATAACAAGTTTTATATACAACCTAATTAGTAAAATAAAGTTTAGTTTGCGAGTGTTTTCAATATAAACAAAGCGTCGAGGCCGAGAGAGTGAAGCAAAAGGTAGTCATTAGCCATTAACCAGCAACAATTACTAATTATTACCAATCAAAAATCAAAATGCCATGGAGTAATTAATACATCAACAAATTAACCGTTACTCAACGCTATATTGAAAATAATTTTTAAATTCATTCAATGATATATAAATACACACATATATAAATATAGATATATAAAATTTTTATGCTCACCTAATAAAATGCCGGAAAGCCATAGAAAACGTTTAGTGTAATCCATTTTCGTCCATAGAAATATTCTCCGAATGTGCAATAATCTGTACTTGAGCTTTATCCATACGCTTCAAAAGCGGCGTTCACCACTCAGTCCACACCAATGTTGGACAGCTCGATCGTGTGACAACTACGAGGCAATGGAGGCCAAAAGAAAGCGACAGGCTTGAGTTTGATATCAAGCTGCGTTTTATAGGCTTAAATGTGCGTGTGTGTGTTTTTTATTTGCATATATACTTATATATGTATAGTGTGTTTATTTACGTCCATAATTCGTAGAAGCAGTAGGTAATGCAAAAACAATTTAGGGCTGACAGTTGTCTTCAATTTGGCAAGCAAAAGCCACTCTCACATGTGGTGCTGTTGCTTAGTTCTTTGGCCTAAATATTAACCGATGTCGTTGACATTGCTTTAGCTCGTGGCGGGGTCTTCGGTCAATTGGTTAGTTGGCTTATAAAGGGCGACAAGTTGGTAATTAAGAAATTCACTGCAATAAAGAAAGTGAAAAATTTTATTAGTGTTATACACGTACAATTTTTTATGGCTGTTATTAATATTATCAAAGTAATTATTATTATAGTTTTTACAATTTTCTATTTGGTAAAATATTGTATAAAAGTTTAATAGATTTTAAGAGGTTTATATGCAGATGTTAGTATTTGTTTTTGTAGACTTCTCCAAGTATGTTTATAAGCAAATGATAAAAATATCGAAACAATATGCATAGAATTGTTGCCTTTTGCTGTTTTCAAACTTAAAAAAGAGCATTTAAATATTATTATAATTATTATAAATATTTTTTTTTTACCTTACAGCCGCTTACAAGAAAACATGATTGAGATTTAAAAACTTTAAAATACTAAATATATTATATAAAACAATAAAAACAAAACTAAATCATTTATTTATAAAAGGGAGTGTTGTTTTCTTAAGGGGTTATATCCACTTGCAAGTCAGAAAATATGCGTTTTTCCGTAATGTTTTTTTTGTTTTTGAGGAGTGATATTATTTTACAAATGAATAAAACTAATGTACACTTATATTTATAGTTTCATTTACTTTAGAAATAAGTGCTTCATTTTGAAAAAGAAGATCCCTCGAAAAAATGTGTAAGGTGGTGAAAAGGTTAGTCTGGTAGATATTATCTCAAATCCCTTACATTAAATGAATACAGGTAGTGATGCAAGAGTGGAAAAATGGCGGCTTCGCATAAAAAAGCCAGCTTTTGAGAATGACAGTTTGAACTTCAGAGCAGCTTAAAATATATACGCGAACCATTCCCTCAGTTTTTGAAATATCGTCTGAAATTTTGTACACGTCCTTTTCTCCCTCAGAGGTTACTCATTTGCACAACTAATATCGGACGACTATAGCGTATAGCTGCCATACAAACTGACCGATCGAACTCATATTAAAGTTTTTTTATACTCGTTTAAGCTAAAAAAATGCACCTGTGAAGGGTTTTTTCGTTAATGCTTTTTCTTGTTTTTGTGTTTTTGAAACTCACAAGTGGATATAACCCAATAATTTGATAAGCAAGTCAGACATATTAAATAAAGTGAGGAATTATTAAATTCTGGCGTACGTTGAATTTGACTTCAGAAAGAAACCATACTCTTGATATGACGAGTATGAAGTGTAAAAATTATTAGGCGCTTAATATAAGGAAGAAGATTATAAAAAGAAACAGAACCAAAACTTTTCATACGGTAACCAGAAATTGATTTTGAACAGCCTCTATATTGTCTAAGTAAATTTGTTAACCAAAATTCTTATTTTTCGAGCCATGTGCACGAATCGTTCTAGCAAATGTCAGATAGAAGTCACTAAATTATGTTAATCTTCTCTTCAAAACAATAACATCCTCGAAATCTATAAAAGAACATTAGATGCCAAACAGTGATCAATATAGGATCATAAGTTTCTGTGGCCAATATTGCAGAGGACTAAATTTAAAAAAACAAGTTTTTTCTTCAAAGTTCTTCATCATTTACCTGTCAATAACAGTACGTCGCACCCTGTATCTATACATATACATGTTTACTTTTACACAATTTCCATATCAATGAAATTACCACCACTATAGCATTATGGCAACCTGATATGGTGATAATGCAAATTTTCATAAATCTTTCAAAGAATATAGTCCGTATTTAAAATTCGCAGCAAATTACTCCAATATATGACTCTTTATGGTAATTATTTCCCGATTATTCTCAATCATGACAGAAATATCTACATACCACATTTTTGCAACTAATACCTATACAGCTACTCACATATGGTTTCCAATCCTCATAAAATGTACAAGTCCATTAGCTGGTGGGCGCATAACTAAATGCCGTAAGCACATAATTGCTTGCCAACTTCAGAAGTGTTAGTGGGCAGGGCTTAGCTGCAATATTATTGCTTATGTGACACTTCAGTGTTGGTTATTTAAATACACCAATTATAAAATTTGCATGAAAATTATTAAAAATTAAATAAAAAGTTGTCTGGACGCAAAATATGCAGAAAGGCATATTTTAGCAATTTTTTATTGTCGATCTACAAACAGAAGAGTCCAGAGACCTACAAAAAGGTTTGAAAATATATTATATTTAATTAGTTATTTTAATATGTTAACAAAAAGTATAAATTTTATAATAATAAAGTAATAAAGAAAATTATTAAATTTATTTTTCATTTGAAAATGTATGCTAATTTTTTCTTAAAAAATATTGAGCTTGAATTCTGTTTAACGGACTGGGAGTGAAAAATGTCTTTTGTTAGAAATTTGCTTCATATTAAAACACAATGGCAGCACATAGCCGAAATAACTTTTAGTCAGTTAAGTATGGTATGCAGTAGGATTGAGCGATGACTTAGCTCATAAACAAGTTAACAAATGTAGGCCCGAAGAAGCTTTAATAAATTTAATTTTTTACGTAACTGTATGGTAGGCATTTTTAGCTTTATTAGTGTTTAAGTGCAAATGCATTTTGCGTAGTTATCTTTCTCGAAAATCTTTTCGAAAAAAAAAAATTCTTGTAATTGAATTATGATGACACCGAGTGAGTTGGGGTGTGTATGTAGTTTTATATGCGGAAGAAGTGAACTCAATTCGAAGATAATTTTTTTTTGTGTACATATATGTATCTGTATGAGAAGGGTTATCTAGTTATCGATTACAAATATCGGCTTAAACTGCAAAATATAGATCAAATTCCAGTACAAATTTTATCATTATAACTAGATTTTATTGACCTTTACATTTTGTAATTCATATGAAATGCATGCTTTATTATATATTTATAATACCCAATTTTCACATCTACATTTTTTCTTGTATAATGAAACTCTGAAGCGAATAAACTGATTCTTTGCTCTGTTTGCTTCAATTTTTCTAAATAAATCGAAAATCATTAAGTTCTGTTCTAGAAGCTCCCAGTTACGCTTATTCGAGTTGGCATCGGTTACTACTTTCTCTTAGAGAACATTTGCATATAAATTCTTACGAGAATCCGCAGATGTTATAGAAATTGACCAATAAATCTCAAGTTGTTGTATTGAAGACATTTTCATTTGACAAAGTAAATTTGACAAAGATTATAACTAAAAATTGCTACTCTCCCGGGAGAATTTGTTCAGTTCGGCCGAAATCAAGATAGAGATCTTTTTATACCCTTTTTTGCTACAAAACATGCACCAGTGAAAGGTATTGCAGCTTCAGTACAGCAGGTAAATCTTGACATATTTTTTCGGTCGTCCTCCTGGGGATCAGATATACAAGGAAATCAAAAATTTTTAAAAATGATTCGGTGATTCGGTACATGTACTTCTGTAATGGCAATTTTTTTTTATCTATACATTAAATAAAATTTCTTTTCAAAGAAAATTTACAAAAAAGTACCTTTTTGCTGATTTGCAAGCAGATATAACCTCTTAACTAAATAAATATTGAGCGGAAAAACAAATCTGATACTTCAAATACCAATTTTATCAAAAACATTATTATCAATAATAAGACTTACAAACAGCAGTTTTGATTAACAATATTTGTTTTGATGCTTCTTCGTTGAGTATAAAACTGGAAAAGATTTTCTGCAAAATTAAACAATTAATGTTGGGTTTGAAAATTTTGGTTAACTCCTTAATTACCTGTCTATTAAATATTATATTATATTTAGAAAAAAAAAGAGTCTTAAAATTAACTATAACTACAACACCATAGTAAATGGCTTATAGTAAAGACTACGGGTCGTATGAGTAACACGTCTATTCGAATTTCAAACGGCACAGAAGACAATCAAATATTACTTGCCAGTGTGGAGACAAAAAACGACAATAAGCTAAAATAAATGAAATCAGTTACACAAACATTTCTACATTTAAAGGTGACAAGTTGATTAATTAGCAAATTCTTCAATTATTAAAACCAGCCGTACAAAAATGACATGCCAAATATTTCACAATGCAAAAAAATTGCATAATTATTATACCAAACAAGCAAATGAACGCCATAATGAATTGTCAGCAGATTTCACTGATTTTAAGTACATTATTTCCGCAACTAAAACCAACAAATTAAAATAACAAACAAATCAACCAACAAAAAAATGTAATGTGTGGGAAGCGCGGTTGCTGAAAAATCGCCGATAATTAATCGAACAAAGCAAATTAAGATGTTTAGTTAACGATGTTAAATTTTCTATTTGTTTTCTCAAATTCTTAACGATTTGTCACGGCTTTGCAAAATGTGCAGCGATTTGTTTCTAGCTGCCTTTTCTATGTTTCAGCCGGCAGCGATTTATGCTGTGTCAATTATGTCGGCGATGAGTCGCATTTATTCGCCAATGACAACGAAAACAATTAAATACGTGCAAATGTATGCGTGCAAGCAAAGGCATAAGCGCAGTTTTAATGGATTCCCACAAGCATCAGCGATGACATCTGTAATTCGCCGACACCAGTTCGCAACCTGTTCGACGTGTTCGGCAATTATTTGTCTGCAATCAGCCTCTACGTTTGCGTCTGCAATGCTCAGGTGATTGGTTCGCCATGGTAATCATTTATTTGTTGGTAGCGGAATTTGTGGACTTAAGGTATTTAGCTAATATGTCAATATTGTTGACCTCTTGGCATTTCACGGAAAATTTATGACTTCTTATTTATTTAAAATTTCGCTTCCCATCACTTTAATTGGTGTGCATTCTTTGGTGACTGCATTATTGTGGATTTATTATTTATATATATTTTTTAAATAAATGTGCTGTCTGATTTGAAAAGTAGTTGACATTGAAAAGTACCACTCTTCGCTTTTGTTACAATTTAATTTATATTGCGACTTTGTGACATTTGTCTTAATATTATTAAATTTTCATACATTTTTAAATTAGTATTTATAAAATTGGTTCATATAACCTAAAAATTTATCACGCTAAGCCTTAGGTTTTAGATCTTTTAAAGGCTTCGAAATCTCAGCGCGCTTAAGAATAGTTATTCATA